ACTTTTTTGGCCTCATCTGATTTGTAGGCCTCGGCTACGCCTTAGTTTCAAACTTCAGATCGGCCGAAACAGTTGTTCTTAATTTTTCTAAATAAAACACCACATATAAATATTTTTGAAATTCCGATGCGATGTTGCCACGTTATTCCAATTTGCTTGAAATTTTTTGGCAATGGAAGGGTTCACAAAAAATAAAAATACGTTCTTCGTTGTAGTGTCAACTAAATCTAATTTTAATATACAGAGAGTTTATAACAAATTCAATAACTTTGCAGTTTTCGTAATTCCATATTTCAGTGTTTTCTATTTTACTCTATTTTTGTTTCCATTCTTTTAATATGTCGATGTGTTTAAATATAGAAAATATTTAACAAAAAAGAAAGACAAAAAACTAGAAAAAGATGCAGCAATAAAATACGAGATGTTCTACTACTAGTACTTTTAAAAACAGAAATAAGAAATAAGGATTTTGCAGCTAAACTCCGATTCTTGGCGAATAAAAAAAATCATCACAATTGAGACAGGGTGGGTGGGCGGGGTTTATATTTTGCCCTTTTTTCTTAACATGCGTAGCCTTCTTTTCACAATATAAAACAAATGAAAAACTCATCACTATTGAGATCGGCATGGGTGGGACGTTCCGCTTGTTTTTTTTTGAATATATATAGTTGTCCTTGAACAACACGATACTTAAAAACATTTCCCATAGCAATTGTGTGTAGAGAAATGACGATTTTGAAATTAAGCTCCGCCTAGCGGTTCACGACGACTCTTTGAAACATGTTTTCAGTTTCTTGTTGGAAAAAGAAGATTACGTATACTTCGAAAAAATAGGCAAAATATAAGCCCCGCCCACCCACCCCTTCTCAATTGTGATGAATGTTTTATTCATCGTGAGTTAAAGGGCGCGGTTTCCTTGCAAAATCCTCATTCCTGCACAAGAAATTACATATGAAATTAATCACAATTGAGAATGGGGCGGGTGGGTGGTACTTAATTTTTGTTTTTTTTTAATATATTTTCTTTCAACAACACGATAGTGAAATATGTTTTCAGTTTCTTGTTGGGAAAAGAAGACTTTGTATATTAAGGAAAAATGGACAAAATATATGCCCCGCCCACCCACCCCTTCTCAATTGTAATGAATGCTTTATTCATCGTGAGCTGAAGGGTGGAGTCTCGTTGCAAAATCCTCGTTTTTCTATAAGAAATTGCATATGAAATTCATCACAATTGAGACTGGGGCGGGTGGGTGGGGCTTAATTTTTGTAATTTTTTTTTAATATATAGAGTTTTTTTTCAACAACAGGATAGTGAAATATGTTTTCAGTTTCTTGTTGGGAAAAGAAGACTTTGTATATTAAGAAAAAATGGACAAAATATATGCCCCGCCCACCCACCTCTTCTCAATTGTGATGAATGTTTTATTCATCGTGGGCTGAAAGGCGGAGTTTAGTTGCAAAATCCTCATTTCTCTATGAGAAATTACATATGAAATTCATCACAATTGAGATTGGGGCGGGTGGGTGGGGTTTGTTTGTTTTTTAATATATAGTGTTTACTTTCAACAACAGGATAATTAAACATGTTTGCAGTTACTTGTTGGGAAAAGAAGAGTTTGTATATTAAGAAAAAGTGGACAAAATATTAGTCCCGCCCACCCACCCCTTCTCAATTGTGATGAATGCTTTATTCATCGTGAGCTGAAGGGCGAAGTCTCGTTGCAAAATACTCATTTTTCTACAAGAAATTGCATATGAAATTCATCACAATTGAGATTGGGGCGGGTGGGTGGTGCTTAATTTTTGTTTTTTTTTTTTTTTAATACAGAGTTTTCTTCGTAAATTAAAAAAAAAATGGACATAATATATATTTATATAATAAATGTTTATAAACGCTCTGTATATGGAACTGCAATTTTATTTGCACCACAATAAAGGGCATACATTTATTTATATTTCTGCAAAATATTGTAACACAGAATTTCAAAAAATTGTAAAAACGTCGCAACGTCGCACCTGAATTTCAAAAACTAACTGTGGTTGTAAAGCCTAAAAAGTGGTGAATCAAAATATCTAAAAGTACATAGGGTGTTTCATTTAAAAATAAATAAATAAAAGTTGTGCGTTACGCCTTTAAAACAGAACGTTCTGTACAATTAAAAATAATTTTAGAGCATAGTCATCAAAAAACCGCACAAATTTCGTTAGCATTTTTTCTATTTCTAATAATACTTAATTTATGAGATATCCAGGAACGAGCGTTTAGTGACTCACCCGGTATATAATGCAACAGTAATTATAACGTCCTGTGTTTCCACAATTTCACGGAAATCAAGTGGCCCATTTTTAAGATAACGAAAACCCAGATAAGACCAGAACCTATATCATTTCTCTAGGTTTATTTTTTGAAAATTCTACAAAGATGAGACGACCTTATTAGCTTTTCCAACAGGATGAATAAATAAATTTTGAATGTTGATTTTCAGACCGAATATTTCGAAAATATTACTCCATGACCATAAATGTTTCAATTTTTTTTTTCTTCTTAATATACATACCTACTCTTCATAACAAAAGACTGAAAACATGTTTAAAGTGGTAAATTTAATCTTCCACACTTCTCTTACAAATTTACCAATTTAAAGAAGTTTTCAGTTTCTTCTCGTGAATAGAAAACTATATAAGAAAAAAAAGGTAAAATACAAACCCCGCCCACCCGCCCTCGTCTCAATTGTGATGAATTTTCTTATTCGTTGTGAGTCTAGGGGCGGAGCTTAATTGCGAAATAAATATTTGGAATCAACACGTGAAGATCTATATCCCAGAATTTTTTGAGAATTTTTGGACAACTTTTTCAAAATGTGAAATTTTCCAATATGCAAATTTCGACCCATTTTTGAACATTTTCCAAACTTAACTTAACATATTTTTTTGTAAATTTCGGGCTGTAGAAGTCACATCCGGAGTCTTTTCTTCGATAACCTCAATATTTTTTCAGACTGCCTCATTGAAATATTGCAACTTTTAGAATTTTTAAAAAATTTGAAAATCGAACTGTATATTTTTAGTGAAGAAGATTTTTAAACAACTCTTTCAAAAGTGAAATTTATGCAAATTTCCACCCATTCTTGACATTTTCCAAACCTAACTAAATATATTTTCTCGCCGATTTTTCTAGAATTTTTCGAAACTGAATCATTGAAATGTGGCAATTTTTAGAATTTTTAAAAATTTTCAATTTCAAACCGAATATTTCGAAAATTTTGATGCCTGACCATAAACTCGCTATATTTTTTGAAATCAGCATGTCGAAATCTATATCCCTGAATTTTTTGAGGATTTTTAAACTGCTTTTAGAAAAAGCAAATTTGCCAATACCTCTATACAAATTTCGACCCATTTTTGACCAATTTTCAAACTTAACTAAACATATTTTCTTGTAGATTTCGAGCTTTAAAAGTCACTTTCGGAGTCGTTTCTTCAATAACACCAGAATTCTTCCAGAATGTCTCATTGAAATACCTCAATATTTAGAATTTTTAAAAAATTTCAAATTAAAACCGAATATTCCGAAAATTTTGTTCCGAGACCATCAACGTGCTATATTTTTGGAATCAGCACGTCGGCATCTATATCCCAGAATGTTTTGAAGATTTTTAAACAAATTTTTCAAAAATGAAATTTTTCAATACCACCCCTTCATGTAAATTTCGACCCATTTTTCACATTTCCCAAACTTAACTAAACATATTGTCTTGTAGATTTCGGGCTACAGAAATCATTTTCCGGTCCGTTTCTTCGATAACTCCAAACATTTTTCCGGAATGCCTCGTTGAAATATCGCAACTTTCAGAATTTTTAAAAAATTTCAAAATCAAACCGAATGTTTCGAAAATTTTGTTTCGTGACCATAAACTTGCCATATTTTTGGAATCAGCACGTCGAGATCTATATCCCAGAATTTTTTGAGAATTTTTTGACAAATTTTTCAAAAGTGAAATTTTCCAATATGCAAATTTCGACCCAATTTTGATCATTTTCGAAATTTAACTAAATAGATTTTGTTGTAAATTTCGCGCTTCAGAAGAAATCATTTTCTGGCTCGTTTCTTCTATAACTCGAAACATTTTTCCAGAATGCCTCATGGAAATATCGCACCTTAGAATTTAAAAAAAATTTCAAAATCAAACGGAATATTTCGAAAATTTTGTTTCGTGACCATAAACGCGCTATATTGTTTTGGAATCAGCACATTAAGATCTATATCCCAGAATTTTTGGAAGATTTGTCGTCAACTTTTTCAATAGTGCAATTTTCCAAAACAATTATTATGCAAATTTCGACCCCTTTTTGACCATTTTCCAAACATAACCAAACATATTTTCTTGTAGATTTCGGGCTCTAGAAGTCACGTCCGGAGCCCTTTCTTCGATAACGCCAACATTTTCCCAGAATGCTTCACTGATATATCTCAATTTTTAGAATTTTTAAAAACTTTCAATTTCAAAGCGAATATTTCGAAAATTTTACGTCCTGACCCTAAACTCGCTATATTTTTTTAATCAGCAGGTCGAGATCTACATCCCAGAATATTTTGAGGATATTTAAACAACTTTTTCGAAAATGAAATTTTCCAATACGACCCATTTTTAACTATTTTCCAAACTTTCTTAAACATCGCCTTACTTAACAAATAACGTTCACTTGATGACATCAGTTTGTTGCTAAACACAAATATATTAATAATTCAGATATGTTGAGTAATGTAACACTGATAATGACCAGACTAGTAAAAATACATGGGATGGTTATTAAACAAACATTTATTCAATAAGATTTTAAGATGACGTCATCATTTTTTTCAATGGATGAATGTCCAATTTTGGCTTTCATTTTTACCACTTGATATATAACTTCCATTTATTTATGCAAGATTGTATCGATTATTAACTCCATTTTGTAATAATAATGTTATTAAAGTTATTTATTTTTTTACAGAGTGACTGGTGACGCCTTTCCGCCATATTGGTAAGTTTCCATAATCAAATTTTGCGTTAATAAATTCATTACAAAGTTATATTATATAAGAATATTGTGAGTTGATGCAGTAGACTGAAAATACTTTGAGAAGAACACACACAGTGACAAATTCGGCTGACTCAGCATGTCCTTCTCGAAGTATTTTCACTCTACTAACAAAATACACCTATCTGGAGCAACACAGTTGCAGCTATCACATTTAAAAAGAGAAAATAATATGACACAATTTCTATACATGACTTCACCTGGCATAATACCAAAGTTTATCAGTTGTTCTTGAACAAATAAAAAATCCAGCGGCTCCCAATCAAGTAATAGATGCCAACCAGCGATATGTTAATCCGCATTATCCAGGTAATTGTGTTCATTCCGGTATTACCGCAACAATACAAAGATAAGGCTCGACGCCACAAAGAGACATTTGCATGACAATATCTTTTTTCGACGTACGCTCCTTGAAAAAACGCGTTTTGTTCAGCTCTCCCGGCTCGCGCACAATTTTCTAATTGCGATTAAATTCGGCTCAAACGTGTATAAAGTGAACTTTTCAGGATTAAGCTTTGTTATTTTAGCAGAAAATGTGACAAACGCTCGAGACACGTGGCGGTTCGCTAACGAGACCATAAACAGAGAACTTCGAACACGGAATCGTGCTAAGGTTGACATGTCCTTCTAGAGCCACAAAGTGATATTAATGACACAACGTTTAGAAGTCCGGCTCTAATGGCTGTCCTCTTACACTTTTTCCGTGGGAAATGCTCGATTGGATTTATGTCGAACGTGCGAATTTTTATGTGGAGTTAGAAAAATACGGGAGGAACGGCGATGTGTCATCATCGAAAGAGTTTCTTTTGCTGGTCGAGCACCGATTTTTTCTGGAATGGTTGTAGACAGTGTAAGCTGTGTAATGGACATGCCAAATAAGTGGCTTCTTCGAGGAAAGAAAACTCTCTTAGTCTCTTTGCTGCGCGATAAATACTGTCCTCGGGATTCTTTGTGCTTTGTATCAGCTAATGTCGTACTATAAATTAGAGGTTTTTTCCTTTTAATAAAATGATATTACAATGCGAGAGGCTTGATTTATCGCGAGTCTGCCGAAAGCTGCTATTTATTATTCTTTATTCATAACTCCATAAGTTTGTTGGGGTAAAATTCATGTGTTTAAAATTAACTCTTCCGCTCTGTCGAATTTATGATCAACATTTACATCGCGTTTTTGTGTAGTAAAAATAGGAAATCGAAACAACCATCAATGCATCAATGAGTTTTTTTTTTTAATTTTATAATACAGTTTACATTTCATGATCTGGTGGAGAAAGGTATTTTTCACAGAAAAACGTACAAATAACATATTTTAGTGTAAAAGATCTCTCAGTAACAGAGTGTTGACAGTCGTTCGTAATTCATTTATTTTTAGAAGTTTGAATGAACCATTCTGAACATAGCTGATTGTGCTGTAAGAAGTGTGAATTAAAGATTGAGGAATTAGCATAATCGAAGCTTTGTAGCTGAAATTATTCAAAAGCGGTGTTTGACGTCGGAATTCATGTATCCAATGTGTGATTTTTACCAAGTTGTGTTTAATACAAAGCCGCAAAAAACGTTAAATTGGATAACCTGGAATCTGCGATTAATTGCTTATCAAAGGAGCTTAGTCCACCTTTCGGTGATCCTGTTGGATATTGCTTGTTTATCATTTATCGGTTATTTATCATCGTCCTGAGTTGAGAGCGGCTTAAATATCGGAAAAAATTAAATTATCATACATAATTCCTTGTATAATCTAAAATTAAAAAGCTTTGTTTAATTAAAAAAAAAATCGATGTGCGTTAGTTAATCGGACAAAAATTGTTAGTTATCAACTTTACAGACGGAAAATTGTAAATTCAATGGAACCGTTGAGCCTTAATTTTGACTTTTTTTGGATCGTGTCCATAAAATTTTCTGATCGTAGAATATTGAGATGTATTTCATGACGTCACTTCAAAATTTTCCTTGGGAAATGATGTTTCAATTTTATAAACTAGCATACTCATGTACTTGTGGTTTATGAAGCCGCCTTGTGTTTTTATAAAGCGAACGTGGCGAGTTCGATCTTCTCATGGGTCACTTTCTTTCTTACTATAACTTATGGGTTATATAAAAAAAAATAAAAATAAAATTTATCACAGTCAAATTTTATAATTTTTCTGAAATTCTGGAATTGTTGGACTTCGCTTCCGGAAATTGCTAACTAAATAACAGAGATCAAGTTTTTCTGGATATTACCATTTAATCTATTTCAATCAAACGAACTGATTTAAAACTGTGATTTTAAACTTTAAGAATTTTAAAAAGTTTACCTTTCTAGATTTTATTTCGTTCTCATATACAGAGTTCCGTTTTTAAGGCGTAACACACACATTACTTTTTTAAATGAAAAACCCTGTATATTTGTTTAAATAAAATTTGATACTCACATACACTATTCTTTGTATGTATAATCCAAAATTATGAAGCTTTATTCAATTAAAAAAAGTTATTCAGACAAAAATCGTTAGTTATTACCTTTATAGACTTCATGAGTTCAAGCACGAAATTTTTTAACACTTTTTTGAATCGTGTATATCAAATTTTCTAATCGCACAATATTAAGTTGTAATTTTTAGAAATTAAAAAAATCACAAATCATAAAAAAGTGCGTTTAACTTCGTGACCGTAAGTTGAGCAAAATTTGTCGGGTCATCCCCACCAACAATTTCATGACGCCACTTCGAAATTTTCCATAGTAAATGCTAGTTAAATTTTATAAAATAGTAAACTCCTATACTTGTGGTTTATGAAGCCGTTTTGAGTTTTTACGTTAGGCATCCAAATTTTCCAAAAAATTTAAAATTGTACAACAAAATTTTAGTAATATAATTGATTGGCTCGACCAGTTAAAGCGCGTCCTAATAAGGCGAACGCGGCGGGTTCGATCTCCTCACAGGCCACTTTTTCTCTTAGGTTAATTCATAGGTGATATATGAAAAGAATAAATAAAATTTAACACAATCAAGTTTTTTAATTTTTCTGCAATTCTGAAATTGTTGGACTTTACTTCTATGGCGAGGAGAGTTCCAACTAAATAACCTTAGACCAAGACCAATCAAAAGACTGATTTAAACTATAGGAATTTCAAAAAGTTTTCCGTTTTGGATTTTATCACTTAATATTTGGTCGTCTAATAAGTATTTTGTTTTCTAATTACTTTATTTCCCCAACGTGATTATTTCAAAAGTTTGAAAATTCAGATCGTTAATTTTTTAGGTTATAGTGACAAAGTAGTTTTTTTTTTATGAAAACCCTATATATTTTACATATTTTGATTGATCTCTTCTTAGGTTTACACCTACAGTTTATTTTTGAAATTTCAATGCGATGTTGCCATTTTGTTGAAATTCCTTAGCAATGGATGAATTTACAAAAAAAAATCGTATTAGGGTTAATTTTAACATTTGTCTTGAAATATTTTGCGGTCAGATAAATAAAGATAATCGCTTTGTTTAATTAAAATTGGATATTCACATACAGAGTGTTCCATGTTTAAAGTTGATACATAGTTACTATGTTTTTGTATTTTTTTAAGAGACACATCGACATGTCGGATGAATGACAACAAAAATACGGAATAAAATACAGGCTGTTCTACTGGAAAAAACTGAAACATCGATATTTGAAGATTGTAAAGTTTTAGAATTTTTTAGAAACACCCTGTATATTAAAATTTAATTTAATGGATACTATAACTAAGTTTATTTATCCTTCCACAAAATATTGTAACACAGATTTTAAGAACATCCCTATTGCTAGTTTTTTGTGAAACCTTCCATTAGCAAAAAATTTCAAGAGAATTAGAATAATGTGACAACATCGCATAGGAATTTTGAAAATAAACTGTAGTTGTAAAACCTAGGAAAAGGCTAATGAGAATATGTAAATCATATAATATAAACAATCTGGTGAGTGTGCGAAAAATAGTAAAAAAATTCCTGCTCACATTTGAACAGTTAAAATCAGTCTTATCTTATCAGGTACTAGCCCCGCCCACCCACCGTCTCTTTTCTTAGAGGGTATCTCATTTGCCAATATCAGTCTTATCTTGGCAGCTACTAGCCCCGCCCACCCACCCTTTCTTTTCTTACAAGTATCTCACCTGCCAATATTAGCCTTACCTTAGGAGCTACTAGCCCCGCCCACCCACCTCTATTTTCTTAGAGTGTATGCCATTTCCCAAAATCAGTTTACTTATATGCACAAGTCCTGGAATTTTGAATATCTTCTCTGGTGTTTAATTGGTTATGCTTTAATGGATTTTTCTTTTCCTGTTTTTGTTTTTGTTTATAATTTGTGAATGTCTTATTAAATGTTTTTTTGGTTTATTTATTAATGAAAAATAACAGCTTGTTTCATTAATAATAATGCACAGTCCTTAATGACTCCCCCATTTTCCAGACACCCGGTATATATGGTGTTTCATAAAAAAACTAAATTGTATGTTATTTAAGGTGTAATGGAACACTTTGTACAGTTAAAAATAATTTTAGAATATAGTCTTCACAGAACCGTTGGTTTTTGACTTTTTTTTATCTCTAATAATAATTAATGAGATATCGAGGTCCGCGCGTTTAGTGACCCACCCTGTATATTTGAAAATTAATAAAAATCCATGTGTGTCTATTACGATTATGAAGATATTTTCGAAATTATAAAAATTGTACAGGAATTTGGTTCTCAAATTCAAAGTAAACTTCTTCTTTCAAGGCACCTAATTTGCTGACATAAAATCTTTTAATTTTCATTAATTTACTTTTAACATCCTTGTTACAAAATTTAAATGAAATTTAAAATTAAATTAAATTTACGTCAACTGTTTTAATTTCACTGTTGACGTAATAGTCATGGCCAACTAGAGCAGAAATGTGAAAAATCACCAGATATATTCGAAATCATCAAAATGTTAAACTTTT